GTAATTTTAAAATATTTTTTCTCTCCATCCCACYAGGGGAGGGAAAGTTGTGACTGAGTGACTGCATGGTACTCAGTTGCAGTGAGGTTAAACCACAACATCACTGCAGACTCTATCACTGCTGTTATCTGYGCTGGGTTTAGGGGAAAAGAACTCTTCCTACCTATTGTTTTCTCAGCTTAATCAGAYTTGCCTGTCTGTTTCCACAGAAATCATTATTTCACCTGTCAGTTCATTTACAACTTTCTCAGATCTGTGCTCACCACATGTGTCTGGCATGGTGTGGAGCTGTCTTTGGACAGGGAGGTGCAAACTGACTTGACCCTTTTCACAGCCATCTGTGAATGCTCTGCATATTGCCAGGGCTGCCTCACTGATGGTATGTGGTGTGTGATGTTCGTAGTGCTTCCCCAAGAAGGGCTTTCTTTGAGTTAATTGGTTTGGGTGCTGAAACGTGTAGAGGGGAAGGGACGTGAAAAGATGCTCTGCAAACCGGTGGGAACAGGGAGTACAGAAGCCCTGTCCAGAACACTGATGACCATATCAATGGTACCTCACTTTTATCTTACWTTTTTTTTTCTTTCCTTTGACTTCCTTTGTTACTCCTCTCCGCAAATCCCAGGATGGCTATCAAGAGTCACCTCCAGGCAGCCACAGCACTGCAGTGCATAGCAACAGGAGTCTCTCTCTTCATCACTGCTCCAACTTCCTCTTCCTGTGCTCCCTCTGCATCTAGTGTAGTAATAAAACTTGTATTGCATAGAGCTAATGTAAACAAGCATTACACTAAAAATACATTTTGCCTTGACTGGCTGTAGCTAGTTTTGTTTCTGACCTGGAGTAATGAGGCAATTTAAGTATGCATTTATGATGCATTTGAGAGGTATCCCACTGTTAATACCTTAAAGGGTCTCTCTCCAACTTAAACACATAACTCAGCCTTTAAAACACCYGCACCAAGCCAGTAGCACCAAAAATATAATCCCACCCTTTCATTGTGTAATTTTAGCATGTTGTCATGGGCCTAGAGTCCTTCAGATGAAACCTCTCCTAGCCTTTTTAATACCCATCACTGCTGGGAACTCTCATCTGCCATGAAGGAACGGAAATGACCAGTTTCAGGAATATTAGGTCCTTTTTGCCTAGGAAATCGTGTCATTTCTCACATTCCTCTGAGTATCTGACGACTTTTGTGTGTAAGATGCAGAAACAATCTGCATAGCGAGAGACAAAGATTAGAGTCAAAGATTACCCAGAAGGGAAGTAGATTAAAAAGAGGTTTTAAATGAGAGAAGTATTCAAAYACACCGCACACAAACACATACACACACAGACACACACAGGGTGGAGGTAGCTGATGTGATTCCATTGTTTCTTATGTGAATCCTCTTCCCTGAAGGCATGATGGCATGCATTTTAAATCAAAGGGCATTGAAAGAAATAATGTATTTGCAGCCACAGAGAAAAGTAACAATGCTGCACATGAGAACAAAAGCAGATGGGACACATCTGTGTCTCTGGGGATTAAGTGACATATGGTGGTGACATGCTTTACATTCTCAAAAATCTGCAAAATATTCAAAATAAGTTGTTTTTTATAGCTACCCAATCATTTGAACATGCCTCATTTTTGTAAATGCTCTTGCCGCTGCAATTCTTTATGCCAATTAAATTGTCTGTGAAACAACCTGCTTTCCTCCTCCTCCTTCTCCTATGTTACTTCCCACATAATTCATTGTTGCATGTAGTGTGTGTGYGTGTGTGTCTTCCTGTGATCATTCCATCTGGATTCAGAAATCAGTAACTACATTTCTCTGCAAAAGTACAGTGATAAACTAAGAGTATATATAATAGAAGAGGATCTGTAGCAGAGGAGTCTGAAGGTTTTAGGAAAATGGAAGTTCTAGGATTCAGCTCCGATAAGTAATTTTTAATGGAATTTCCCTCTGTAAATATTCCAATTACAACAAAATTAAATACAATCGTTACACAACTAAACTTAACAATACCTCACAGTATAATGGCACGGTTGTGGTTTTAGTTATTGTTTTTTAAAGGTGAGAACTTCACACAATTTGTTTTAGGAAACAGTAACAAAAACAAATAAAACAAAAGCTATGAGTCAAAGTAACAGTACAGAGCGGGAAAAGTGGCATAGATGTGGTGAAATACCTGCAGAAGGTACAAGGGGAGTGAATAAATGTTACAACCACAGTATCACTGCAGTTTGAACCTTTTATGAAGTATTGGGGGGAAAAATATTTAAAAACAACATATTCATGGACCAGAAGGATGGTGTTGATTGTAACTTAACATGTTTTTCAGAAAGATTATATATGAAAATTATTCTAGGAACTGTCTTGGAAAACAAAAGAATGAAACAAGGAAACACCTAATTCAGAGGCACGTTAGCATGTATATATTAACTATATATTAATATAAAGTGATATGGAAAGAATATGGTATTTTGTCTGCAAACCACTTTGGGTACCAACAATCTCATATGAATAAAATAATAACTTGTGTATTCAGGCTCAGAGCTCTGCCTAAAGAAATGAGAGATAGAAAACAGCTAGCAGCTGCCCCCCTCATAAAGTTGAGAGATTATGAAAACAAAACCAGGGAACACTATCAAACAGAGGTGAAATTGTTGATAAGTGGAGGTACCATTGCTGAAAAACTAGTGGAAATCTGTGTTCTTCACCTTTTATCTTGGTAATATTTTATTATTATTCTTTACTGTGTGCAGTAAGCCAGAATGTGTCTTGCACCAGGATTCTCAGTTAAGAAGCTGACCACTTGGTGGACAAACGTGGGGAAGTGGAAGGGCTGGACTCTTGCCTTATTGCTCAGGGACCTTGGCATGCAAAGCACAGCAGGAAGATCAACCAGCCAAGACCAGACATGGCAGCACAGATCCTTGAAAGGAGAGAGCATCTGTCCTTTCTGGGAATACCATATGGCTAGTCTGGCCAGATCTAGCTGCAGGTTTCCTTGSTGTGAGATTCTCAGCAATTGCATCCTGGAAAGAAATGCAAAATGTAACTGTAGTATGTATTCTCAAAAGATTGCCAGCTGTTTATAGTCATCTCATTCAATCAGTGGGCTTCTTGCAGACTTCTTTGCACATGCAGAAGCATGGGAGAGAATTCAGAGAGGTGTTTAAAAGTCTAATGTAGTCCACTTTCCATTGAGCTCTTCACAAAATCATTAGGGGATTGCTTGCCTTGTGCCTCCCAATTGTCTGCAAACTCCAGGAGAAGTTTAGGGAGCATTTTCAGATTATTCCAGAATAAGCCTTGAGGAACAGTCCAGTCCTTGGTCTAGAATTCCATATCTCTTTTTTCTACTGATAAGTCCCAGCACCAAATCCAGCACTTCACATGTGTCTCACCAGTGCGGAGCAGAGAGAAAGGATCCCAGCTCTTGACCTGCTTGTATGGTTCTTCCTGTTGCAGCTCAGGATGCTGGTGAYCTTTGATACAAGAGTGCATTGCTGGCTTATAGTCAGTTTGGTATCAGCTTGGTCTCTCAGGGCTTTTCTGATAACTTGCTTGCCAGCCAGTGAGCCCCCAGTCTGTTCTGGTACCTGAGGTTACTCATCAGGTGCAAGATGACTTTACATATTATTTCATTGAATTTCATAAGGTTTCTGTCAGTCAATTCCCCAGTTTTTTAAGGTCCTTTTTAGTGGCAGAAAACCATGTGCTGAATCAGCCACTCCTCCCAGTACCGTGTGAAAACTCATTAAGGGTACACTCTGTCACATCATTCGTAACCGTTTTAAAGATCATTGTCCCCAGTATCCATCTCCTGGAGTACTCTACCACTGGCTGGCCTTCAGATGAACTTTGTGCTGCTGACTACAACCCCCTGAGCCTGACAGTTCAGCCATTTTTCTGTCCACTTCACTGTTCACTTATCTAGCCTGTAAGGTGCAGACAAATGTCTGTGAGAATTTCTCAGAAATGCTGTCAAAATTMTTGCTAAACTTGAGATAAATATCATTCACTCCTCTTCCCTCAAATTTTAGTGAGTTTTTATGTTTTCCTACTGCTTCAAAGATATTTAAGAAACAAGGGAGATACTATCAGAGGAAGTGGGTTGTAAAAATTCTAGATAAAGACCCTCTACCTAGAAAATACCACACCTTTTGCAAGTGCCTTTTACTTATCACTAACATTCATGGGAAGTAAGTCTGGCATTGGTTTTGGGAGACTGACTTGGCAACCTTAAATATTGATATCTATCATCTGGCCTAGTTTAAAAGATAAAAGAGTGCTACTGCTTTTGGTTAAACTTCTGTGACTGAGGGATAGTCAATGGTAAAGCTTATTCTACCACTACTCCTGAGAGATTCAGACTTCCCCATCACCAGCAAACACTCCATTTAGCACACAGAGATGTAGTGTCACAATGCATTAGCACAAACATTATAGGCCAAAAAAGCAGAAATCTCTCTGGAGTATGAAACATTAAGTATTTGAAGATCACAATTTAAAGAAAAAGTCCGTGAGCATACAAATCAGACTAGGCATCCACCTCAGTTGCTTTTCCAAAGCAGCTGTAGCAGAGAGATGGCAGTGTGATTAGCTAGCCAGCTCTTTGTGGTACCAACAGCTGCTATGGCTATTTGCCAGGACACCCCAAGGCTCCATCGCTTCTGAATCGATGTAATTTTGTAAGCAAAACCACGCAGCACACAAATATGCGATCACCAATGCCAGCTTGGCAAACGAATAGATCAGCTACAACTATGTTAACAATTTGAATACAAGAGATTGCAAAGTATTAGGATCACATTACAGAGGGGAGAGTTGAAGAAAGGGTGGAAAACTAGGTGCAGTTCGGGGCTACTTCACCTTACAAAGTTTAATGGGGAAAGGGGCTTGGCTTCAGCATGGTTGAAGCACAAAGTGCAAAGACAGCTTTTCAAAGCCTACAGCAAAGGGTTATGCTCAAATTCCTGYAAGTCATACCTTCCCTGGGGGCCAGCTTCAATGCATCATGACAATGAAGGTACCAGAACAGTCTAGCAGCCCAGTTGAGTCCAGAGACCAGTGAAGGGCACTTTTCCTTTGTAAAAGCTGAAGCAGTTGGTTTAAAAGAAAGGTTAAAGGCAAGTATTACATAAGAACTCAACATGAGAGCAATAGTTCAGGAAGTAATTTCTCCCCCTACAGCACAGGAACTGGGTGGTGAAAGGACCCAGGTGAGTGAAAGGACAGCAAATTTGCTGCAAACGCAGAGCCTCTTTCTGTAGGATAATGTGTGGTGGTTCTCATTGTTTCCTTTCCACCTAAGGCTTTTCTGACAGAGTCTGGCCCTATTAAAGCACTGGAAAGACCATAACAGAAGTCTTAAATCATTGCTTAAGTAAGTAGGGAAGCCTACTTAAGATGCTGAAGGAGAAATAGTGTGGTCAGAACTTGTCTTGGCTATTGGTGAAAACATAGCATCCAATACTGAGGTGTCAGCAAGGGCTATTGAAGGAGTGCTTACAGCATTTTCTCCTCTGGTTGTCAGTGATCATGTAGAGTATTACACAAGAGGAGACAGGTCCCATGAAATTGATGTAATTTACCAAAGTGAAGGAAAATACTCTTCTGTTTTATTTGCCACATACTGCCATGCTAGAAAGTCACAAAGCTTCCTTATATCAGCAAAAATGAAGAGAACACAAGTTGAACAGACCTATGAAGTGTTTATAAACTGAATTTATTATTAGCTTTAAAAGGTGTGGCTGCTATGTTGTAGGGCAGCTTGTCTCAGGCTTGAAGGGTTTGCTGAGCATGGTAAGAGACTGGGAAGGCAGAAGGGTTGTTATATTTTGTTTGCACTGTCAAGAAGATATTCATCACAACCTCTGTGAGAGAAATTTTTATCTCAATGTGTGCAAAGCTCTAATCAGGAGATAGAAAACATCACGCACGCAGACAGGGAGCTACAGTGGACAAAAATGCTTCAGTCCAAAGTACTGATGATTTAGAGTGCAGGTTCTCTGCCTGGGTTTGAATTTATATGGTTCAGAGATTACACACTCATGCTGACAGGACTGGTATGACCTCAGGGAACCAGCAGCCCATGACTCTCACTCTCTTAGGTGCAGCTCTTAAGCAGGGTGGCTTAAGAGCTGTGGCTGCCTCTAGCCACAGCACCAAGATCTACTCAGTTTTCAGGGAACCAGGGTTTTGAGCAGTGTGTCCCAGAAAACCACTTGCTCTGCTGAGGGACAATGCCCAAACCTTCACCTCTGCAGTTATCGTGGCAAGAAAACCTGGTCATGCAGGTTAGATGGGTGCTTTCCATACCAACCCAAAGCTGGGGAACTAGGACATCGTGGAAATTAAGCATAGACTGAAATTCTGCTAGTCTTTAACATGCTCAGCTGTTTACATGGCAGTTTTGTGTGAACTCTGTTCCCAGAAGAAACTGAGTTAAGTGTGCAATATCAGAAATTCAATGTCACCGTAATAGCTGTCAAATAGTCTAGTCTTCATACCACCACCTCAATAGATGTTGACAAAATGTGCTGCCATCAGAATGAAAAAAATCAAGGGAAGTAACCCAAAGCCTGGGAAGACTGCTGCACAAAATTGAAGAGGATATGAAGAAGCGTTGTTACTGTTTCTTGAACATAGAGAAATGCCTGATACATCAGTTCCAAGAAATAAGAATACCTGCTACCTTTGCTTGATAAAAACACAATATGTCTAAGTAATTCCAATGCTGGCTCACAGTAGCCAGTCTCTAGGAAATAAGAACAAGCAAATGAAAGAATTGTGACTGCCTTCCAGGAAGCTGTCTGGTGGTTTTGGAGTCACAGCTCTGCTGACCAGAGCAGGAGGGACTCCAAGGAATGGCAACATTCAGTCAGTGCCCCAGATTTCTTAAGTAGGTTCTGAATGTTAGTAATGAGTTAGAGTGTTAGTAGTTAATTTTTTTAAGAATTCATCATTCACATATGCAGAAAAGCTGTGTCTGCCACATCCATGTGCAGAATTTGGGCGATATTTTTAGTAACTGCTTTCAAATTGCAAACCTATTAAGAGGGGTTTTTCAACAAAAGGCAAACAATGGTGACAGTGTGGCCAGCTGGAATGACAGACACCTTCTTTCTTTTCCTCTAGTCTCTCAGCAGGGTGAAAGCCAGAGACGCTTGTATAGAGAACTGCTGAAGAACTACAATCGTCTGGAACGACCGGTAGTGAATGACTCCCAACCACTTGTAGTCGAGCTCCAGCTTTCCTTGCTGCAGATAATTGACGTGGTAAGTTACTTCCTATTCTCTTTTCTGTGGCACCCATTCAGCATAACAAATCTTATTTCTCATCTAGAAGACATGCTTTGCCTCTTTATCAGACAATCAGAGATGAAAGTAGTCTGTCTTTTGCTAAGCATTCTCCCTAAATGCTGGAGTACATGCTTTGACACTTCAGAGCAGTGAATATCCTCCTAAAAGCACAGCCATTTCTGACACTACATAAGCTGCAAGGAGATTAAATATGCATTTTTTTCCATTTGTTTTAAACACAAAAAGAGAATTCAATTAATTAGAAGCCATGTGTTGCTGCAAATTATTAATGATATGTTCTTCTCAGAGCTATGTGGGATGCAATAACTCAAGACCATATGCAGCTTTCAAAGCTACCAACACTGCACTTACACTTTTTCATTAGCTATTATAATGGCACTGGCCTCTTCTCCCATCATATTTTCACCATGCACTGCAACTGAAAGAATCTGCCCTGAGATGAGCTTAGAAATACATAAAAGCAAAACCTGGAGGCACAGCCCTCTAATTGTCTTGACTGCAACATGCTTTTACAGAATTGGAGATTTGACCCATGGTAAATTTTAACATAATAATCCAAATCCTTTTTTTCATCATGAAGAGGATTCTCTATGATAAACCATGATATATATAGACAGGATTTCTTTCATCTACATGAGAAAAACAAGGCAGAAGAACAGTTTTGACCCTCTTCACCCTGTCAGCAGAGCAAACAGGTGAGCACAGTAGCGCTCCTATCTTCATGCTACCTTCCCCATAAGCAGTGTTTGGGGCTGGTTTCTCAGGCACTGTCACTGTTACAGAGGAAATGAGGAATAGACAGAGAGATATGGTAACATTTGTGCAGTTGCAAAGCAATGTAACAGAAGCCTCAAACTTTTTAAAGTTTTGACAATCTTCCTGAAAATGTGCAGGACACCAGGTGCTCTCCCTGGAGAAGCAAGCAGGACCCTGAAGATGTAGCCCCACAGCATCACAACATACAAGTGGCAGGTTCAGCTGTGGTGCTCCTGGAGGCAGGCAGCAGCCCCTCAGACAGGGTACTCATCTTTCTGTTCTGAAATGTTACCAATTGCATTGAACTGGAAGAGAGAGGAGATCAGTACTGTCAACCAAAGTTTTTTACATGAATGAAAGAGCAAAGATTTCCTGGAGCTAATTTCAAATAAATTTCAGCAAGCAATTCTAGGTTTAGCAGAGGCATCTCAGCTCCAAAGATCATTCTTCAGCCTTTCTCTTTATATGGTATTTTCTTTCAACCTGATTTGAAGGCTGAGGGTACTAAAGGGAATTCTTCAGCCATAAGGCTGTGACTGCATTTTCAAAGTCAGTCAGTCAGGAGGAGTTACATAAAACAAATTTTCAGCTATGTTTCACATACACACCTAAAACCCAAACTTTCAGGAAACCGGCATATTTTAGGGTACTTTATCTGCATTGTGTCAATGTCCATTACTAGAAATTTAGGTACAATGTTCCTTTTGGTTGTCCACAATACAAAAACGCTATGCTAAATATTCATACCTATCAGCAGCAAAACTTTTCTTGCCTACATCCCTGCACCCAGTACAGTTGCTAGATGTTAATCAGTTTTAATCAGAATTAATGACCTGTCCCAGGCTTGTGGTCTTGCAAACTGTGCTAAAGGTGTTTTAAAAAACCAGAGTCACCTGAAGTGTTTATCATGGATGATGTAAAAAAGTGCCTGTCTCCTCAGTGGAGGTCAGAAATCACTTTGTAAAAAGGTGGTGGCATCAACAAGTGGCTAAAACAACAAGCCTGAAAATGCACAAAACACTGATCCTCTGGGTTCTTAAATCAGGAATCAATGCAGAAATATGCCAGCAACAAGCACTGTACTTGTGAGCCCCTCATCCTCCATTGCTGACTGGACAGACAGCTGCATCTGTCTCCCCCAGCTGCTGAACGTCTTTTTAAATGTCTATAAAAATCCTTATAGCCACAGTGATGTAAAGAGCAGCAGTCAAGCTACAAGGAAGAGGTAACCTCTGTCATCTGAGACAGCATGAGACAAACCAAGTGATCATCTCTGTTCACTCAGGTGGGAAGCTGTGGGTGAGTTGACTCTGCCTTTTCAGCTTCCCTGCCTGGCAGAAAACAAAGCAGCTGGTGCACAGCTCTTCACTTGGGGGACAGGGTAGACAGCATCACAGTCTTGGCAATGGTACCTGCATTAATCTTCATTAATCTTCATTAATTCATGAAAAGCTGCCCTTTCTGAGGGTTTGTGTGTCCAGCGTGCTCCATTACCATAAAAGAGCAGGGTGCTAGGCAGGGTCCCAGCCCTTGCACCACACTCCCTGGGAGGAAACAAGCACTCCATGCTCAGTGACGTGTGATGTGCCAGGGCATACTACAGCACTGACATGCTTTGCAAGCAGACACTGCTATGAACATGTGACAGTGGACCCTGTTCTGGTTTCCCTGAAGGAGAAAAGAATGTGAAGAAGATAAAAACAAGACTACTGTTTTATTGTATGAAAATGAGGAGTCTGCCTTTGATGCTCAGAAAAACTTATACATTATCCATGCCAAAACCTGGCATACCATCTAATGCACTTCTKTCTGGGACAAGTTCCATGACTTGCTTCCGTAAGTCTGTTTCCTACACATASTGTATTAAAATGTAATGAATCCTAAATTTGTCTTCTGCAGGCAGCCTGCTGAGAACAGCATTGGTGGCAATATAGTTTCACTTTGCTACACAGACAGAAAAGACTGCTCTGAAACCACTGTGGTTTTCCAAGCAGTAGAAGAAATCATTACTTAAAAATTTCATGTCCTCTTCTTGCAACCATTCAAAGAAGATTTTGAAGGATGACCACTTTGGATTAGGTTGTCTGCTTCTACTTGCATGTATTTGCCTACACAAGATATGTAGGGTTTTTAGGATTCAAAGCCAGCCATCATTCTCAAAGCTGAGAAGAGCATGTTCTCTGCTTGTCACAGTCGTGGTAGACAAATGCAAATGAAGGACTTTAGGGTTTGGACTTTTCCCCAAAATTATATTTATTCATAGCTACTGCCATGACAGGCCCATTGCATTCAGGAAAAAAATGAGCAGAATGAGGGACAGTTAGAGCCCCTGTTTAACAGCAGGGTTCAGTTCAGCTTGCCTTGTCCTCTGGGTGTAAGGACAACTTCATGCTGAGCTGTCTCATGTGTATGCCATTTTTGAGGGTCACTTGTGCTTGGAGCTGACCCTCAGGCACTCCCTGTGCATCAGAAGGGCATTGGCTGATGGTCTCTCCCTACCAGCCCAAGCAAGGGTAGTCATCCAAGAGTACTTGGAACAAAAGTACTCTTGTTATTTTGTCTAAGAGCCCAGTCAGTTGGTGAGGGTAGAGTAATTAAGAAATGAGGCATGACATTTTCTGCAGCAGAGGAAATAAAAGCATTTTCATTTGGCACAATGTGAAGGGAACCTGCTAGGTGGAAACTATTTGTCATCATGAGTGATGGTTTTCATTGCTCCAGTTGGCATTTGCAGGAGACTTTTTCTAAAGGGGTGTACATCTCATTGCACTGTTATTTAAAAAAATAAAAAGTATAGCTGTTGAGATCCCTGTGTATTGTGGAGTCCTGTGGTACTTTTATCCTTCATGTTCAGCCTTCTTGCTCCACTGTCAGAGGTCATAATGACAAAAAAAAAGGACTGCAAATGACCAGTGGGAGGCCACAAAAATGCCGAAAAAAGATCCCCAACAATCCATGAGCCATTTTACACTTCCAGAAGCCAAAAACGATGTAATTTTGCTGTATTTTGTGCTGCAAACCCAAAACAAATGCTGTATCTTGAAAAGTTTATTGTGGACTATTTTGATTGAATTGCACAGTGTGTAGAATGATTGTATATCCCAGGATCTGCYGGATTATCCCAAATTTAATCATATGCTTGTGAACACCTTACTTTTAAACTGCAGATGTTGCTATGGTGTGTCAGAGTTATCAACATTTTTGTAAAATGCAAGATGAGGTAATGTGAGAGTTTAGTAGGACAACAAAAACAAAGATTCACTTCTTTTTTTTTTTTTTTTTTTTTTTTTTTTCCCTGAAAACTGGGTCTGTGCCTTGTCATTCATGGAAAACAAAGTAAAAGATCCTCACATACTTTCCCCAAGCATTCAGGTGCAGTCACTATCACGGTATGTAGCATACTAGTTTAGCAGCACAGCTATTTTTGTCTTCTGTACCTGGAATTTTATCAAAATGCTGATTCAAACTTAGCTTCTACTGGTTTCCCCTAAATCAGAGTCTGAAAACCTGAAGGACTTGAGGGATTTTTTTATTTTCTGATGGTTTGGGGTTTTTTTTTCTGGAAGTGTTTGGTAATGGAATAACTTTTAAATGCAGGCATCTGTTGRCATAGAACCAACCTACTCCAAAATGGTCATCTCCCAGGTGATCTGCTCATCAAATAATAGGACTGTTTAACTCAGTCCTAAGAGCTGGTGGAGAGTGATCTCTTTGCTCAAGAGTTCTCTGTTTGACTGAGAGTTGCCAAAGCTGTAGCCTGCCTGTCAGTATACTGTGCCTTAAATTAAAGGTGAGAGAGCAGGAAGCAAGGCTATGTTCAACCCTGGGGTGCCTCCTGTCTGACACAACCCTCCTGCTGTTGTCTTTTTCACAAAACCTCTGTCAGATCTGAATGCATTTAGCAGTTGATATCCTTGTTTTCAAATTATTTTGTTTCATAAGATTTCCAGGGCTGGTTCTGCAGGTGTATTGAAAGTCCAGAAAGTTCAAGGGTTTATTTTCTAGCTCTAACTCACCTCTTCCTTCTTAAACTGACCTTACAGTGTCCAGGTCATTCCCTCCCACTTTTCATTTCAGCACCATCACACATACAAAAATCTGTACTGGTTGCTATGTAGTAAACCCATCTCAACAGACAAGTGATTCAAGGAAACAAAAATATGCAGTGCACATAAGCACCAATTCATTTGTTATTCCCA